GAGGCTGCACTGGATTCATGGGTGAGTATGGCGGATAGCCATACATTTGCGAGGCCATTTGGGGCGACTGTGTGTATATGCCGCGATTATGCTGTTCGTGTGTTTGGGAAGCTACTGAAGCAGGCGAGCTGGATTGGGGCGTATGATAAATTGGAGGATACGGCCGCTGCATTTGCGTGGCTGTAGCCATCATTTCTGGTGGTCCTGAACATGAATCAGCCTGTGTGGCTTGGATTAACCGGAGCAACCTTTAGAGCATATTGTTGTCACTGCTGCTGCGAATACCATTATACCAGAAACACCAAAGAAACCCCATACACCGCACTTACCACTTGATGAGTACTGACTGGGTGCGCTTGCTGTACTATAAGAGGAATGAGATGAATAGTACGAATGCTCTGATGGCGGGCCGTATGAGTGCTGATGATGTATAACTCCGTTGCCTAAGGCGTGAGGTGCGTATGAACCAGAAGGTAGCGTAGTTGAAGTCTGATGTGGTGATTCTGGTTGTTTCTGTGGCTGGACCAGAAGAGTTGGTCGAGGATGCTGAAGATGAGGCGGTTGCGGGCCGGGATGGCGATGCTGGGTCAAACGACAGTTAGCGCTGGAACCTGAATTATTCTCGAAACAAGTTTCAGAACCCGAGTGATCGTATATTGCAGCTTGCGATATGCTCAAAGAAATGATTAAGAAAGTATGTGCAAGACAAAATAAAATGTAGTTGAATCAGAAACTGCACATGGGAACACAAATCAATGAGTTGCTTATTCTATAAGCAAGAAGCCCAAACACACATATGGTTGAGCATCTGTAGGAGGCAGCCCGATGCGTACATGGCGGCATAGAGGCAATAAGGAAAGCACCTGCCACAGGCAAGCATCGTTGGTAAGAAGTTGGCAACTCTGGACCTGTTCGCATCTCCCAAAACCTCGGTGGGTATGTTGTCCATGCTGCTGGTAAGTCGTGTCATTCAGGCAACAAGAATGACCTTCCTTTATCGTCTCCAGGGGAACGTGAAAGCAAGACACGTGGGGTCCGAATCAGATTCATAGTTTGGTCGAACAGTCAAAGCCGAGTCAGCGATGACTTTCTGCAAGCGCGGCCAGAGAGCATGACAGATGTGGGCATGACCCGTGCTGAAGAAACTTTCCAGCCCCATTGGCGGCTCCAGTGTCGCAGGACGTTGAAGAATATTCCGGATGTCGAGGGTGAGACCACAGGGTGTTCGACGGACGTCGGAAGACAAGGCGTCCGTGCATTGATTATTGGCGCATTGCGGGAGACGTCATCGCAGTGGAAACAGGCGACACGGTCAGGTTATCGTATACGGTCTCAACAAGCAGGGAGGCCTGCTCTACTGAGGACCAAATGCCCACATACTCCCGGGTTCTCCCCCGTAGCACTCATGCGCAGTAGGCCAGGTTGACCTTGGATGAAGGGCAAAGGCGTGGAATGATGCAGGCATGAGAGGCAAAATACCAAGATAGAAAGGTCGGAGAAGGGAAAAAGAAAATACTGGAAAAGAAAAGAATAACATGACAGGCAAAAAAGCACGGGTTCCTAGCACTCAAGAAGTGATGAAAATATACTCACAGGATCTTCCACTGGCTCGTCCTTGTACTTTGGTGCAGGTGGATGAGCTAGGTCAGTCTGAACCATGCCGGTCATGACTGACCTCGAATGGTCCGGGATGATAATCCTTTTTTATTTTTTTTCTGGACTTCCTTTGCTTTCGTCCTTCAATGGCTTCAGCTCATATAATAAGGGGAGGGAAGTCTAGAGGAGAGACATAAAACAAAGTTCAGCTTGGGTGCGGGAGAGAAGAAAGGATGCGCGTAAGAAGATAGTCCGGAGGGAGGGGCCCAGAAACGGGGGTGGAAAGGATATCTAGACTAGACTAGAGGAGAGCTTATGAAAAGGAAAGCTAATGAGAGGCTGAAGGGTAACGGTAGTGGCTCGTTGGTCCGTGTGGTTCTGAACTGGGGGAGGGGAGGGGGGGTTGAGGGTGGGAAAGGAAGGGGGCCTGGCGATGATGGGCCTGGATAAACGGTGCAATGCGAGTGTGCAAGTGTAATTGTGGAGGGTCCAGGGTCGTTATTTAGCTGCGCTGGAGACCCATCCTTCAGTCAGAGGAGTTGTTCACCAGCTAGCTATTCCGGAACAGGTATGGGGGGAGATGAAGAAGTCTGGGAGAAATAAATTAAAGCAGGGAGAAGGGGGGCGGAAAGAATAAGATAGAATAAGGAAAAATAGAAAAAGGATTTAAATAATAAAAAAGATTAAGGGTAAAAATGAATAAATAAAAAAGAAATAGGGAAAGAAAACAGACAAGTGACGGAGGGCAGGACAGCGTCAGAGGGATGCACTGACTAGTGGGGATATCAGGATGAGCTTGTAACTAGCGGGAAGGTGGTGTAATATTGACCAGGATGGATGCAGGACGCAGGAGCAAAAACGCGAATGCGACACTTTGAGGGTCTCTGAAGAGGATTGACTCGAACAAAGTGACTCCTGACGACAGACAGGTGCAATTGAAAAGGAAAGAGATGGCTGACTCGATGAATTGTCTTTTGGGGGAGTGGTTTGCAGCATGCAGTGGCAGAGTCAAATCCAAGAATAAAATGGTGGGAAAAGTAAAATCATAAAAATCAACGGGGCAAAAAAGGTGGGAATTCTGGGGAAGACAGACTGAGAGTAAGAGAGGGAGAGAGAGCCACTAGATGCCGAGCACGGCATACAGTAGGGGACTTTTCTTTGCAAAAAAGAAATATGAGATGCAGCGGATGACGGTTTACCTGTAGGCCACCACTGACATGGCTGCGACCCCGGGAATTGTTTGACGACAAGAACCGTGGGTAGTAGGGATAACTGGCAAGGAAATAGAACGTACCTTTGGCCCGTCGAGGTTCAAACTAGGAAAAACTGTCCAGCAAAACTGGCAACTGGACTAGAGTAGCAGCAGTATGAGGGATGATGGGCAAACCTTAAAGAGCAGGAAAAAAGAAAGGTAGAACAAAGACAGTAGACAAAGAATCGGAAACAGCCGCCAAGCGTCGAGATCTCAAAACTTTGAGAAGGTCAAGCAGATGGGGTTCCGTTGGCTCGCTTGCGTTTTTGTACTTGAGATTGTGACGACCAGAAATGGATCGGAAACTAATGCGCCAGTGAGAACGGTGATCCAAAAAGGGAGCAATTGGTGGTTAGGTCTGGAGAAGTATCTACTGATCAACCGAGTGTCGAACGGTGTATGTACAGAGAGTAAGTGGTATATGGTCAGTGGTAATCCGCATGGCTTCTCTCGCCTATCATGCTGCAGACGACTAATTATAACAGGCCGGGAAATAATCTCATGAAATTACTGTGACAATCATGGCTTGCGAGCTGCCACTTAGGAGGCATGGGCAGTGGAGGGAGAACATGCAGCTACTTTTACCTACTTGGTAGTAGGTAAAAAGCAAGCACCTGCCACCCACACCACCCTAAGAGCAGAGTGGGTGTGCGGGTGTGTGTGCATCCGGCCGGGTGAGTGTCAATATGGCCGTGACAGATCGTGTTGGCCGGGATTATTAATCAGCTGTCATTTTCTTTTTCTTTTCCTCGTTGGCATTTTCCTTTTTCTTCTTTGCATTAACTTCGCCCAGTCAACGCTATTCTGAGTCATTTGGCCAGTCATCTTGGAGCTGCTGTCTCTGCTAACACAATAAAAAAAAAGATTACAAGCCCCAAACCTCTCTCAAAGTAAAAGCGTGGAGGGAAAAAGGCATTCACATTGTCGAGGATAATGATTAGTGTTGGACGAAAAGGGAAAATGGGAAAAATAAAAAAGGCAAGAAAAAAATTGGGGAAAATTGGAAACTGATAGAAAAAGAAAATTTCCCATTGGCATGTTGGGCTCCAATACCCACACAGGTGTTTTTAGGTTTGGAAGGAAAGGGCAGAAAATGGATGGTCTGGATTAATGAAGATTGGCGCCGGGAGGATTAGGCACAGTACAGTAGCCGTTGTTAGTCTGATGGGTAGGTAGTCGGATTGAACGGCACCGTCCAAACATCTTGCTATAGAAGCGAAGTATAATCTTCGTCCTCGGGAAATAACTGGATATCATGGATTTGGGAGAACCACTTGGTCGAGTCCACCATCGGAGTGGGATCTCTCAGAGATTCAATCCAGGTACCACCGGGTAAGAGCTTGATTCCCACCCACACGAGTCGCTGCCTAGGATATGGCCGGCCACCCCCTGGCCATGCTTGAAGAGTCATAGTTCAGAGCTCACAATGGTGATCGTTATTGATAATGAACTGCTGAAATGGCACCCTGGATTGACAAACCATAATCGCCATGCCCTGAACAGCCCAGCCCAACTCCACTTAGTAGACATGGCCTGTGACGCTGACTCGATGGATCGGCCCAGTCACCACAGCTCTAGCCATCTATTGATCCCGCGATAGTGCTGATGATCGTGTCATGGAGGACGTTATTTTCGTCGTTGCCGTTGTCAGCGTTTGCTGATATGGGTTAAATTGTTCCAGACTGTTTGTTTGATATCCCTTTTTATTGAATAATTCCGGTTCAGTCAACATCGCGGCCTATTTTCTGTTTTGATTTTCCTTTTCCCTTTTTCACAATCTTAATCTGTCAATTTCATTCGCCATTTGTTTCCTCTCCGAGCATTTTAGCCCCATCTGTCTGCCTGTTTTTCTTCGTTCGCGGGACATCCAGTCAATAATACGGAATACGCGACTCGATCTGGTTACACTCCGGTATGAGAACGACCGATCTGACTTGCTGCTGTCAGCCTTGTTCCCACATCTCAGAGGCGCCACTCAACGAATGGCACCCCTCCCGAGCCCCCCATCAATCAAGATCAACTCCTACTACCACCACCACACATACACACAAAGACCAGTGGCATTTGAGGTATCCCGTACGCCCCATCAGATTCAAGTTTGCTTCATTTTTTAATCTCTTCATATTTTTTTTTCTTTTTCCTATTTTAATTGTTCTTCCCTTTCTCTCTTCGGGAATGACGAAAGTTTGGCAGTTTGCGAACTGATGCTGTCATTAACCGTCCAATCCTATCCATCCCTCCTCGGCCCGGTTCAAATAAACTTGAGACAGCCTAACGGTGTCCGGTCGAATATTTTATTACTCACCCTCCCCATGCGGATGATGATGATGATGATTCTGCTGCTGCTGATGATGCTGCTGAAAGGAGAGTAATGACGGTGTAACCCCAGCTCTTGGGCTGGAAAGCGGCCGATCAATCATCATTGGCACTTTGGTGGGCTCCTGATCCTGCCGCTTCCCGGCGACTAGCTTCCTGCATCATGCTTCCCAAGACACCTTCATACGTTGAGAAGTGATGAACCTACTCTTACCCTTGGGCGATCGAAATCATCCTTGAAGCCAAGTGCAGTGTCCATGGCCAGGAGGAGCCCGGTACGCCCCGGATGGGCCGACGGGGCCGTGGCCACAACACGACTTTATTTATCGTAAGGAAGGGTCATGATTTGATTCTCGTTGACGGGGCGCGGCCCAAATTTTCTTTCTCTCCTCCTCTCCATACTCAGCTGGGGACGCTCATTCAGTCAGCCTGCCAGAATTCACGGGACAGCTCCACTGAGGCTTCCGTGCAATCAGACGGCAGCTCCACCGTTAGTGGGACTTGGCGATTGGGTGGTAGGGGAGGTGAAATCAAAGAAAGTGGTGCTTCGACGATTCTAGCCTCCCGGAGAGCAGCTAAAGCAAACTGGCCAGATAAGTCAAGTTACTTTCTTTTCCCAGCCACACTGTTACAGCGCGATTCTTCTGGCCCATGCCCGCCAGAAAATGGGGTTTCCGCTGTTCTTTTCCTGTTCGAGAAAAGCATAAGAATGTCCTCGTGCACCCACTCCCATGTGAAGTTTGAATCGGACGGCACAGAAGGGCCTCCCGTTATGGTTGTCTCGGATGATATGTTTAAAAGGGGGACCGGCCGATGCTGTGTCCGCAGCACCACCACCACCACCAACAATGGGAAGGTTTACCACTCCCTCGACGTGCAGGAGCTAAAGTAAGCATGCCGTGTACTTTGCTGCAGCCAGACTGCAACTGTTGGGACGCCTTTTGTCCGATGGGTACAGTGGTGAACTACCACCTCTGTGCGGCGTAGTAGATGAAGGGGACTAGCTAGCTGTCGAGCACGGAGTACGTGGAGAACCAACAAAGGAGGGGTCGGATCCGGACCTGGTGTAGCTTGTGGGGAGCTCCAGACTCAGCTTTGGTCTCTAACATGCTGCTACTGCTGCTGTTGTTGCTCCGTCTTCTCCTCATCCTCCGTCCACTCAATCCACCGTTAGCCCGTCGGTTCGGGCCATAACATATCATTGACGCCATCGCAGGAATACTAAGATTGCTGAGTGGGTAGCTGGTATCGTCTCCTCCCTCAGAGAACCGAAAAGGGACACAGGAGACTTACCAGACGGGGATTAGTGGAAAAGGTCGTCGTAATCCAAGCTCTCCCTCTTTCGGACAAGTTCGCAAACGCTGAGTTGCTGCGCCGCCCAGTCGCAAATCTCACCCTCCAGGAAGCCATGTGTGTGGCATGCTCACCACCTTAGCTGCCTTTAGCGTCGGGTTGGTGGAGTCCTTGGGCTGAACGCAAGCAACGGTGTCAGACCTCCTCCTTCCCTGTCATTGGCATTGCTCGTTGTGATCGATGCAGGGTGCTAAAGTCCGCGTTCGCACTATGTGGTAGTTCCGTGACCCCCCGGTCGCTCTCCTGGTCTCCGCCTTCTCGCTCTTCATTTCGTGCTTCTTTCCTGTCTCACTTTACTACTACTATTTTGACTTGCCTTTTCTGATTCTAGCCTTCATTTCCAACCATATCCCCTCTTTTTGCTGCTACTCTCCTGATGACAGGAGTTGTTTCTTCTGATTGGTCTCTTTTCTCGGCCCCGGAAAATACTACTATACCTCGCTAAGTAATCGCTCTGGAAAGGACAGTTCCAGAACTACCACGAGTAGGTGAGTAGTACGGATACTGCAACGTTAGACCCATCTGAACAACCATTGTCGAGACTCGAGACTTTGGACCAAGTAAGTAGCACCGAGCTTGCGATGGAACCTAAGCAGGTACAAAAGAGGGGAAGGAGCGGAGTGAAGCTTTGGCGAATGATTGGGGCCCGGAGCCGGGCGATGTGACGACCGGAGGGTTACGAATCCAATCCAGCATTGGGCGGGTGATGGTGCTCCGCGTACCTGATGCTGAACCATATTGGATACGTTGGATGGCGATGAGTGAGACTCTCTTTGTAAAGGACTTTACTCATCGCGTCTCATCCATTGCCTGATCTACAAATGGTGGTAGGCTCTGCAGTCACCAGACCTCGCGACCGCCACAATCATCGCCTACTACTTACCGTCACCGAGTAGTCCAACAAGCGGCTTCCCTGAATGGGTCCTATCGGGAGGCCGTGCTCGGGAGAATTCAGGCGTGTCGATTAGAGGGTGGGAACTTTGAATAGATTAGGTACGGTAGCCCCAGTGCGCGGGACTAACTGGATGGTAGTCGGAGGAAAGGCAGGTCCTCGAAGTTTGCTTGGTAGGTGTAGGTTAGATAAAGTGGGTGTGGAGCCATCGATGCGAGATGGGTGTGAGGTTGAGTTCGAGCTGCGACACCTTCCGACAGGTCGAGATAACTACTCACTACTCCATACTAGTTGAAGGTTTACCTGTTCGAAGGACCGACGACTGGTTCGATCAGGGCGGTGAAACCTCGTATTTCTCCTCGGAAGAAGATCGCACGAACGAACCTAAGTACTTCCATGAAACCAGAATCTAGAATCAATGCCTCTCTCGGGAGCACGGCAACATCGGGGAACCCGTCGGGCCCAGTTGCTTCATGTCTCTCATGACATCCACATACTTTGTCGTAGTCTACTCATAGTGCTGTGGACTAGCAGATGGAACAGAAGGTTTCCAGCTGAAACCGATAACGAAACCAAGGAAAGGCAGGTTGGGTGCCAGGGAACAAAAGCGGAGCCACACTGAGATCGCAAAACAGGAACTAAAATGGGAGTCCACTTTCAGCCCGAATCACGGGGGGCTCCGTTTCCGACTCCGACAGGGAATCAAAACCCCTGGGTGGATCACCCAAATTTTCCCTTTGATATCATCGGATCGACTGGGGGGAAAGTGAGGTGTTTATTATTATGGAACCAAGCAGCAAGAGCCGACACAGCAAATTGTTCACACTTTACAGGTTGAATTGAACCACGGTCTGGTTCTACGGAGTAAAGTCCGTACGCAGTAGTGGTTGGTGCCCGTCGAGCTGAGCTCGCTTGAGACGGAGGTCAACTCCGGCGCTTGCGCTACCGCAAGTACTTACTGCCTACCAATGGCAGTGGTTGTGGAGGAACACGACACGATAGCCTACGAATTTTGTTCCCCAGTATTAAGTAGGCAGGTTATGCGAAGGTTGTCTGGCTGTCTCTAACTCTCCTCTTGTACTAGCATGTGTTTCTCGAACCTCCCATTTTGAAAAGTTAGCGCGCAATCACTGCGCCGCATTAATCTTCTCCATCTTTCTCACCTTCAGAAAGCAAAACAAAAAAAAAAGACGCATCCAGCTGCGGTGGGACCCGTTCTGGCTCGTTTCCCTTCCCACTTAATTATCATCATGGCTAGCATGCTTCAGGTGGTGATCGGCAACTGGGGGCCGTATGCACATCAGGTTGGCCGCTGCTCTTAACGACCGTACTAAGGACAATCCTTGTCCGACAGATCAACTATCTACGGATAGTGAGCTTGTCAAAGTAGCCTTCTACAAGGATACCTGGATGGATCAGCTCCCTAGCATGCATAAGTGTCTGTGCCGTCAAGACACCCTCTCCGCCTTATGTACGGAGCACGGATGGAAAATCTCGAGTGCAGCAGTTGATGGATGTGCCTCTTAATTTGGAGTGTGCGGGTTGCAAGGTAAGTAGTATGCTTTTTCTGCCTCTGATCTTGATCTTGTTTATTACATGAACCCTTATGTAATGGCGATGTCATGTCTCCATCATCCCCCGATGGCTAAAGTAATATCAGCCAATATTATAGCCATCGAAATATCGCAACGGAGATCTTTGAACCGGTAAATAATAGCACGACGGGCCAGCAATCACCATGTTTGCCCCGCAGTCCGACTCCACCCGTTACAGCATACCAGCTCTCTCCCACTCTCAATTTGTCGAAGGCCGAGTCGTCGAAAAGCAAAAAGGGAGAAAAAAGTAATTATAACATCATCCTGCAACGTCCAGAACAACGCTGGTCTAGCTTGATGCAGAATCCTTTTAAACGAACGAACGAACTTACGATGGTCGAGTCGCCGTTGGGGGACTACCATTACTAACTTTGGCGTGTCGAGTAATTATATCATGTGTGAGTGGGTCTGCCGCTCTAATACGTAGGGCATCACCTCTTCTTATTTTTCTTATTATTATTTGTTTTCTTTTTCGGCACTAAACCTCCCTTGTATCTAGTCCGATAGTCCGTGAGGTATCTAGACTAGAAAGTGGATGAAGGTGTGTGGGATGTATCGATTCGAGCGACCTAGACTTTTTGATGGCCGTTCCTGAGCAGTGAGCGATGTCCATCCACTCCACCACCAAGCTCGTAGTTGATACACCACGACATGCATACACCACCTACCAACAGAGTATCTACTAAGATAGTAGTGCGAAACCTCCCCCCATGTCAGACAGTTACCCCATGGAGAGAGAGAAAAGAATGGACAGAATAATCCCGATCAACAACCGGCTGGACCCATCTTGGCAGGAGATGTAAGGCAGCGCCAGCAAAAAAACCAAATTGAAGAAGAACAAAGAAAACGTCACCCAATACATTTCGCGCCCACGTATTTTCATTTTCTTCGCTCTATGGTTACCCTGATTTGAAATCAGATGGGGACTATGAACCATGGATCGATGTTTTGACCCCTTTCTTCATAGGTAGAATAATATAGTTGCATTTCCTTTTCTTTGAATTTCGGGAAGCTTAAATGTCCGATATTCGACCGTGGACTTACATCCGATGTTATGTAGCTAGGTAAGTAACTGTATGTATGCGTGCTGTCCTGTCACTGACTATACTTACTACTGCACAGCGCTGGGTTTTAACCCGAGTTATACACCTGTATGTATTGCATAGTTATTGATTCTCTGTATCTGGGGAAGATACTTCGGCCGGACGTCTGTCTCATTTGTTTCATCTACCACCTTAGATAGAAGATCACTTTGTCAGTCCAGATAATAAGACTATACTCATAACCTCCTACAAGTAGCTACCTCGAACAATCCCCCTAATTAATCAAACATTCCCACATCAAACACCCGATACAAAGACCATCAAACATGACCATCGTAACGTAACACCAATACCCAAACCAACACATACATTCATACATACAATCAAATCAAACAATCAAACAACAGCCATCATCATACTAAACTCCCATAAATGTCACCCTACATGCCGATCCCTACTCAAATCTGCCCTCCCACGCCCCTTATGTAATTCCCTCCCTTTCCTCCAATCCAGACCCCCCGATAATATCAACCTTGTCCAACCACGCATGACAGGTTACTGAGATGACAGGAGGGGATTATTTTCTCCGCACCGGGCAATCAAGCAAGCGGACGGATGGATGGATGGAATGTCGAGTTCGGGTTTTGACGTCTACGGAGGAAATGGGTAGGTAGGTAGCTAAGAGCCGCCCGTAGATTGCTTGCTTGCTTGCTTGCTTGCTTGCTTGTTTGGTTACGGAGGTGTAGCTTGTGTCTCTTTTTAGTATAAGTACATAGTAGGAATGCTTCTTTAATTGCTTATATTTGCACTGTAAGTTAGTAACTTATGTATGGAGTCTTATTTCCACTGAAGTCAAATATAGCCCATATTAAACTGGTAGATGTTTGCTTTCCTCCCTCCCTCCCTCCCATCACCAAACTAGACCCAGAACCAGAACACAAATCTAGGCTTCCAGATTACTTCACCCCAATAGGTATGTCCCGTCGGGCAGTTGTTCAGCAAGCAAGCAACAATCTCCGCGTTAAATTGGACATACGTAAGTGGTTGAAGGAGGATTCAGCCTATCTACGGAGGGTGCTATTCACCAAACATACTTACTTGTAGACAAGTCCTTCTTTGCATCTTAATTGGTATAGAGAGAAGGTCCTCTATCTTTTTGCCTATTTCGACCTAGTATAACTACTAACTCTCCCACACACTCTCTCCCTCCCATGGGGAACGTAACGAACAAACAATACAATACCATACATAATTACAACATAGCTGTCAGATTTTAGTCTGGTAAGTTAAGTAATGAATAGAAACATGTGATCTGAGCCCTAAGGGCTGGCCGCCGCCGGCGCAGCAGCCAGCCAGTGGCCCAACGACTCATGCCCTCTTCCTCCGGGCTAAACTATAAGTAGTAGTGGTAGTGGTTGTTGTTGTTGTCTGGTGTTCCGGCCCCACCATCCGACGCCGCCGAAGATGGAGCAACATTGAACGATCCATGGGAAAATGGGAGTCTGGATGTGTGTGTGTGTAGTGAACTAACTAGTTAGTTTGTTACTCGCTAAGTAGTTGGCACTATTCAGCTAGTAGATAGATGAGAGGTATATTTTTAGCTAATTACTAAGAAGGGAAAAATAAAAAAAAAATAAAAAAGAATATGGAGGAATAGTAACTGTTATGATCACAAACAGAAGGATGTCACGCCGGGTCCAGACGGGACTACTAATTGTTGATCGGAGGGGGAAAGATGGAGTTGGAGAGGGGAGGGGGAAATGAAATGAATGGGATTGATTCATCTTCTCGAACTAACACTAACTAACTAACTTATCCGTAGGCTATCACACACACGCACACACACCTGCAATTTTTTCCACACACACAATACCACTCAATCACTCACCCCTCCTCTCCAGCCTGACAGCCTGCATGACTAGGTACATAGGGCATGTAGGTCTTAATTAAATTGATGTGCTGTGATTTGTGGCCGTTGGTTAATTTTTCATTTGCTTTTTTATTTTTTTCGTGCGCAACGATAGGTATGTAACCTAGACTTGCGTACTAGACTAAGTGGACTTAAACCTATCTAGTAGTTAGTTAGTTTGGATAGTTGGTGGTGAGTCTAACTATGTTCTAAGCTTGTAGGGAGGGGGTGTGAAGTGTAAGCTTCTTTGTCTAATTTCCCTCTCTTGACTCTGTCTCTCGCCCTTCCCTTTCCCTTTTTTTATTTTTTCTTTCCCACGCACTGACGGCAGCTAATAACGGGTGATTGTCGGCCATCCTCGCGATGTGGATTTTCCCGAGCCTTTTTTTTTCCCTTACTTTTTTGTTTCGTTGCTCATCATTATCATCCCGTAGGTAGTGGAAATTGCATTTTCGCTTAGGACAATTTGAGGCACGTACGTACATGGACGCCTGTCTAGATCGTCTATTTCAGATGAAATTATATTTATTACTTACTAGCTAGTGACTTAGCTAGTTGTATCAGTAGTCAGGGGATACTAGGGATTTCTATCAACCCATCTAGACCAGATACTATTTACTTTACCCACAAAGTAGTTCGTAAACCAAATACATACATACATACATACATACAGCAAAGTGTACTCCGTACCTGACATGGCACACGGCATAGCATGGCATGGCATATCCGAGCACACGAAACAAAGCAAATCAACCTTTTTACCCTTACTTTCCCTTATCCTTTCTCAAAAACTCAATCTGGCGCAGCGGAAACTCTAACTCGGGTGACTCGGGACGACATGCGCTTTTTTTTGTTTTCTTCTCTTGTTGCTGCCAAATGAAACAATGATGCAGAAGCGTTGGGAACGGTTCTTCTTGCTTGCTTACTTATTTTTCCCGATGCAGGACTGGGTTGTTACTTACTGTAGGTATTGATTGTTACCAAGGTATATACTTTGATGGTGAAGTTAGCTGGGAAATCTGTACTAGCTATACGGAGTACTCTAATTCGAGATACTAAGACTTGTCTTACTGATCAATTGTGGCAGAAGCAGCCCTACGTACCCCATTACACATCACATCTGAAAACCTAGATAGATTATGTATATGTGTGGTAGTATAGTATAGTATAGTAATCGTAATCGTATTAGTAGAACCATTCTATTATCCTACCCATGCATATAGGAGAGAGCCTTACGGTGGAGGTCACTAAGTAAACCATGTAATCACCCCAACCCAATATAACCCACCAACCTATGAGATTATGTCCTGAGCCAACATGTCTCTCCCTACTAGATTAGCCAAGTCCAACGAGATACTTTGTTACTAAACCACTCACTATAGAGTGAGGCATATTATTACCCATATACTACTCTACCCCCTCATCACCCCACAAGGCAGACAGAGAGAGCACATTTACCTACCTTCCTATTTGTCTCTAGGGGACTAACTGAACCGCATCACACTGACAGTGGCAGATACTCCTATCTGTCTACATACGCACGCACTCACCTCTCCTCTTCTACCCATCCAAGCAAACAAACAAATCACCAAACCTTCCTCGTTTCATCCTTTTTTTTTTTCTTTCTTTCCCTTACCCGTCCTCCCAAGCCGGCTGGAAAACACATAAACTCAATCCTTCAAGCTTCAAGCCCAATACTTGATTTTATTGCCTTGTCCGGAATATTCTCGATTCTGATCATGGGACATTACCTCCTGAGAAAGAAATAGAACACAGAAACCTGTCTCGTCTGAACTGGTTGAGACTGACAGGCTACTAAGCTGACCAGATCTGTTTGGTTCGGTGTGTTTGGGAAAGAGAAGAGGTGAGGCGCCGCCCGCTTGCCTGCCTCCTTTCTTGCGTGCTTGGTTGGTTGATTGATTGTTTGTTTGCTCTGGTTGCCTTGGGAGGGCTTTGTTCGGCGAAAGGAATACTGAGGACGCCACTGAAGTCATATTATATGGTTAGTATTATCTACTATTGAGGTACGTATACACTTGCTTGCTCTACTTATCTTTGTGGGATATTGAATGGTGGGAGTGACTTTTGGCTGATTGAGTTTCTTCCGTCTGTCTGTCTGTCTGTCTGTCTGGTGTCTATACATCTGTGATGCGTAGATGAATGTGCATGCATGCATCATCTTGTTGAAAGGTGTATGTACATATGATTGATAGATAGATAGACAGGTACTTAGAAAGATAGTTACTATGATTTCATCCCTCATTCGTCCTATTTTATCCGAGTCCGAGTCCTGCGACCACCTCCCCAATCAACGATCAGGTGGCAATGACATGACATATACCCTTAGCACACCAACCACTACATCGCCATCTTTACTATAATACTTTCAAGACTTGAAGCAAAGCATAAATGCAGTCATCGGCCGACGAATGAAACATGCCATGACATCTACTTACATCAACCTGACAAGTATCCCATCATCCCTCCCGACACAATCACCCCCTAGTGGACTATACTCCTTCACTTCAAACTATATCTTCCCATCACTAAATAACAGCACACGCCCAAATCCGATTCCTCAAACTCCTAAGTAATTAAATTATAGGAGAAGTCTACTATTGACGGCTATTAAATCTCCAACCAACCCGACCTAAACCCACCCCACACACGCAGATTCGTCATGCTTCATTTCCACATATACCTGTTTATTGGTTCAAGTTCACATGCGCATCGGAAACAAGCAGATAGACGTAAACGCAGAGCCAGAACCAGAACCATTGGGAGAGAGTCGTTGTAATCCGGACTGAAGAGAGTTTAGTTTGCCTTCAACCCCTTTCTTTCACTCAGTCAAGACATGACATTCTCTAAACCTGTGTTTCTCTCTATCTTCGTCATAATATACTCTAGATACCCAGTGGGCGCAGAGACAACACTTACTGTAGTACTAGTAATAGTAACAAGAAACGGTGGAAAAGGAAAAGACGGAAAAGAACAGAAATGACACACCTACAACTACACACAGCCATGCCATGCCATGCCATGCAGCAGACAGGACACGACACCCAGCCAGCCAGTAAAAACAAACGGCAACTTGCCACAGCAAACAAAACCACACAACAGAACAAACAGGGAGAAGGAGGAGAAGAAAAAAGAGGGCTACTCTAGGCATCGAGAGAATGATACCCAATCCAGGCAGAGAAGAAAAGGGTCACACAAGACATGACACATTGACGAGGTGGGAAAAGTCTGTCCAGTCTGTAAGTAAGTAGTTTTCCTTGAACACGCGCAGAAAGGTTGGATCAACCACTGAGGAAGGAGGTTCAGGTAGGACGAAGTGTAACCAGGGCTTGGACGGAGTCAGAAGACCGTTTGGGGTGTTCTCTTTAACTACTCAGGATAGTTTGGTCTGCTATTTTCTTTTCTTTCTCTGTTTTGGGAAGTCGCGCATTGCCACTGCACTGACATCTCGCGCTAGTGAGGTGAGTGAGTTAATTTTTCTGCTTCCTTTTTTCTGTTTTGTCTCCCTTTCCAAGGTGGATGAAGTGGCACACATACTACTTCCTATTTACTACTTACTCCGTATTGTGTACACCACATGCCGTAGAACCAGTTGAAATTCAAACGCTTCCAATTGTAATTGCTTGACTTGTTTGATTGCGCGTGCATCCAGGTCATTGCGTCTAATAGGCACTGCCATAAACCATACATTCCTGTTCCTTCAATCCCGAGCAACGCCGGTCCGCTGTTGTACACTCATTCTCTATTCCTCCCAGCTCGTGATCTGGACCAGCATGTAATCACGTGAACAATAGAGGTATTGCAACTGAGGAAATGACCAAATAAACAAAAACAATATAGTAACAAAAAGATGCACAGACAGAACATGATCATACTGCTGCTTTAACGGGTTCAGTCGAGGTCTTGGACCCCGATTTCGTGTCAGGCGCACCCTCGATGGCAAGAGGAGTCGCAGCCTCGTCATCCTCGTCTTCATCATCACTCGAGGAACTATCCACTCTACGCCCGTGGCGACGGTCCTCCTCCCGACGTCGACGGCGCTCCTTCATGACCTCTTGCCGGCGAGCATCTACACACCTGTTTAGTACGCATTGTGATCCATGAAGCTCTGGGAACTTACCTCGAATTTCCTGCGTCTTGACCGCATACGCTTGGATTTCCTCCTTGGTCAAGACTCGTAACACGATCACATACTCCGCTCGCTCCTCATACCGCTCTCGACCAAGCTCCAAGGCAGCGGGGTTCACAAGCCGTCGGTCAATCTTCGTCCACCGGGCCCCAGGAGGGATGCCCTTCTTGTGCGCATCTTTCAATGGAGCCACGCCTTCTCGTACGGGATTGGGCTCCTCCGGGAACTTCTCACGGGGACGCTTCAGGATTCCTTTGGGCGCAGGTGGATCCTGATCTTTCGACGTGGCCTGCTCAGACTTTTGGAGCTCGTCTGGGCGGCCGACATCTGCTTCTTTGTGACGCGGCAAATCTTCGCTTCGGTGACGAGAGTGAGACCGCTGGCGATGGGCGCGATCGACTGTCAAATAATGAGACGGTCGCTCGCTGCCACTGGCTGACACATCCGAGCCATCAGGCCTCCTATGCGCCGATGGCTCGCGCCGGTATTTCTTCAGGTCTTCATCCGAGGTATGCTCATCAGACTCGCTCCCTGAGCGACGTCTAGAAGGTCTGCGCGATCGACTGTGATGCCTTCTATACTCCAGATCCCGAGCGCTCCGGTCCCGGGAGCGATGACGGTCGGGCCGGGGTGAGAGATCATAGTCAAAGTCGTCCGAGTAACCACTCGCGAGCACTGCGGTTCCTAGGCCGGTGCTCGACCCCGAAGCTGCGACAGCGCTCTTAGCAGAAGTTCGCCTTGAAGCACGATCGTCATAGGAGTGCCGGCTACTCGCATCGTCATCATGTCGCCGGTGTCGGCGATGGGGACCATGGTCGTACTCATCCCTATAAGAAGAGTAACCTTCATCGACATCTTGGTGCAAGGATACGGGGGCCCTCTGCCAGGACCGCCGCCGCGCACTCGACAGATCTACATCACTGTCAGCGGAGCCGTGTGTGGAACGCCGCACACGACCGCCTTGGTCCAATTTGTCAAAGCCTCTCTGAGACGGAGGAGGCCCGACAGCCCGTGACTCCTTGCGAGGCAGCAAGTGAGGGTCATCAAGGCCAGTCAGACTAAGTGGTCTATTCCTTGGATAAGCTCCTCGCTCATAGCGCAGCCTGGCAATTGAGTCTTTTTCCATCTGCTCCGATGCATTGGTATAAGAATAAGCATCATAGTCGTCGATATCTTCGCCTTTCCGGAGACCGCCAGTGGGGGGATACCGCAAACGAGGGCTATGCTCGTACACCGGATATCCACCATGAGGCACTCGTTGCCTTGCTCCCTCATGTGGGTCCAAGTGCCCAGTATCGCTGGCATAATCAATGTGGGAGAGATGATGCCGCCGGTGGTGTCGGGGCGAAGAGGCCGGTACAACGTAACGGTCATGGTCTCGACGCGGGCTAGGGGTTCGCTGGTGACCAGGGATAATGACGGGGGAGGCCCGGGACAAGGGCGATGCAGGTGTGTCATACCGGCCGGAGGAATAGCGAGGATCCACCGCAGACATGGTGCTGCTCCGCACTCGCGGTCGGATGGCGTACTCGGTCCTCAACTTGGTCGAATGGCCGGGGTCTCGGTATGTTGTGGAAGAGATGGGTTGTGCTTCCAGTCGGGGTTCTCGCACCAGGCGAGGTTCGTAGGAAGAAGCGTAGTTGACATCGGCATGGTAACCCGGGTATGGCGGACGGCCGGCAGAGTGGTAAGGATCGTAGGAAGCACTGAGCTGCACGGTGCCAGTGGAGGCCCGCATAGGATCGATCATACGCGATCCGCTGGGAGACATGGGTCGGTAACGCGCAGCGGGACCCATCCTGAACCCTTGCAGCTACTTCAGATTAACAATGGGCTGCGAAGCGCTATTTCCGACCGAGGAAGTGTGGGGTTGGAACAGCGCAAGTCGTTCAACAGAAGCTCCGCAGGAGGTTTCTAGGCCGAACTTGCAGTGAGGGTGGAAAAGAAAAGTAAAAGAGGACTTGGATAAGAGAAGTGGATGAACAGACGGACTTTTTGAGAGGATAAAAAAGTCTGTGGGGGTTGGTTGGGTGTAAAGCCGTTCAGGCACCCGACGAGACGAGCAGTAGATGATAAAGAAGAATAATGCCAGAGGGGCAAAATGACCCCGTGATAGGCAAGGGGGAGGGGCAAAGATGCAGAAAAGAAAAAAGGAAAGAAAGAAAAATAAACGGGAGGGAGGAATTTGACAGCGATTGACAGGCCGATGCCCGAAAGGATAGACCAACCGGAGGGTGGGAATAGAGGGCGATATTTGAAGGGGATGGCGCACACTGATTGATGGAACCAAACAGTGGACAGTGGATTTCAGGAGAAGGGAGTAGAATGAAAGGATCAAAGCAAGTACCGGAGATTCCACTCGGTGCGGGGAGGAAGAAGGGGAAGATAAATTGATGTGAAGATGAAGAGATGAAGATGAAGCGATCTTCAAGAATCTGAGGCGGAGAACGTGTGACGCAAGATGCGCGCGGAGGGGGGGAGAAAAGAAAAAGCACCAGAAACCAATCCGAAGCACACGGATTCCAAGCAGTATTGTTCCGAAACACGGACGAATGTCGATGGAAGGATAAAATTCCCCACTCGTAGCACTAGTAGTACTTGTCCGGAGCAGTGGACTCCAAAATTATTATTGTCTGATATACAACACTGTCTGTTTGTAGTGTACTTGGAGTAAGTAAGTCCAGGAAAGAAGTGTGGAAGAGAATAGGAAGGAAAGTAAGTTAGATGCAGTAATACTACTCTCGGTACTAGTCAGAACTGTGGAAATGGCAGTTGGCCAACCACGGATTCGCAATCGCTGGTTTTCGGGTGGGAGCCGCACCGGCTTATCTCAGCAGCCCGCCTTGATTGACTAATTGGACTAATTGGGGTTGGAGCATCTCTTTCCCTCCCCATTTCATATCCCATCATGTTCATCATGATCTCGCTTTTCTTTGTCTCCCGCTTGGTGACTGGGCGTCGATAGGTATCACGGGTTCTGACTTTCTTGCCCTTTTCGTCAACCCTTCAAGCATTGTCGGTGATCCCCAGCTGAGAATGACGGCAGTTACAGTATTGTGTCAGTCCCACTCTCTGTCTACCCCCCCCTCTGCCATCTTCCGTCTGTGGTGTAAAGACACAGACCCTCTTCACGGATTACTTTACTTACCGTGTGTACTAATATCCTTAGTCTGAAGACCATTTCATTAGTCCGGTCTCAACAGCCGATATTGTATGACTTTCCTGCTCCATCTCAGGCGCTCCAGCACCGCTGCCCTTCACCCACCCGGGTGCCCGGGCAAATCATCCGTGGCCTCGTATCCACCTTCTTCAGTTACGCCTCGCCAAGCTAGGAGCGGATGATGTCATCCCGGACGAGTCTGAGGCATTCGGCACTCTTTCGGTGGCCCCAGTATGGAGCCCACTGCCAGCCCGAGTAAGATTAAGGGCTCTGAATGGCCATCCCGGTGGAGTCGGGCGGAATTTCTAGAAGAATGGCTCAACTATCACTGTCTGTCGATCCAACGGGCGCTGCTAGCCTTTCATGAAGTTATCGACGGAAGTCCGGCACACATCTGCCTTGCGAGAATGGCGTCTGCCAGTTCCCCCGCTGGGAGCCACGTAACGTCCCGGGCGGCTTCAACCTTGATCAGCCGCCGAAGTTGCATACACTGTGCCCTCCCGGGGTGGCTAGATCATTTTCGTCCTCTTTTCGAGCCATAACTAGCACCCCGTCTCCCGCTTCTTGCAAGCCAAGGGATGCAGATAACCTCGGGCATAAATTAGCCCCCTTGAAACAATGGGACGGGCGTGCTCTGGTCGGTTGAAGGTCCTTGCGGCGGTTGTTATCCACCCCAGTGCTACTTGACTTGCTTCACCGGACAAGCGAAGGGAGTGCGCGATTTGTTTCGGGCCCCTTCAGCACCCTGGCAATATCCTGCAATGGACGGGGAAGCAAATTCCTCTCCAGGCGCTCTCAAGCACGCTGCCAGGGAACGAACTAAAACACCTTGGGTGTGGTGTGAAGGTCATAGTAACACACACCTCCCTAGGCAGTCTGTCGTCTTGAGTTTCTCATTGCGCTCGTCTTCGGGTTGAGGGTTGACGAGATTATAGTACTCTGACATCTACGCCTTCGTAGGTCTACTCTCTCCTCGTAGCCAGCCACACACTTCCTTCGTTCGACTTCAAATCTATTGTGGATACTTGCTCATGACTCTTTCTCACTAGGCCCTCTGTTTCAGGTGTCATCATCTGGGAACGTCGAATCTGACGCACTCTTATTGGAGCAACCAGCCACGACCCAGCTAAGCCACCTAGTGTGCCCTGGAAACTTGTTGCCCGCATACCTGAACTCAATCCTTCGGGGCAGCATTGGGATAAGGCGTCTACTAGTCACGCACAGCCCTGGGCCCCATTTTCACGGGACAGACGTTGCTCAGCGCACCAGGGAACGGGCCATCTGCTTGCATGAATGGAGCAATGCCTATAGGATTCTGCCTGCAGGTGCCTGGGCCGTTCCAACCCTTTGGGTCCCTGACCACGAGGTGACCCATTCGGAGTACGCGCATGCCATCTATCTTATCGGAAAAGCTTTGCATTGCTGGCTTCGTCTTTGATGTATGCAGGCCGGGGCACCTCAATTGCAGGGACTGTCTGCCCAGGTATATCGCCCGCAGTGCCTGGACAACTCATCGACTGTCAAGGTTACATGAATTCGCGCATCTGTTGTTACAATTGATTCTACATATAAGCATCGTAATCGATGTCTCTGTTCAATTATTTCTTTCCATCTCATTGCCCTCGATCGCACAGTCAATCTCAGACTATCAACAAGAACTCAAGTGATTATCCTCTCACCTCGCTTTCCTTGGACCGTTATATACACCCTCAGGGCCCTTGAACCATTCCACAGACCCTCTCCACTCTCAATTGATCCTGCGCTTGGCTAGTTGTCTTGCGCCGAGCTGTCTCATCTCCTGATCTTCCCAATTTCAATCTGAAGATCTCATTACCGTTCCCCAGTCTTGCAACCATGACCAACCAAGTCCAGAACGCCAACACCACCATAGTCCACGCAGCCGTTAGACCCTCTATGGCCGGCTGGTGGGTATGCTGCAACTGCAAAAACATGAACAACCCGTCGCTGAGCTCTGGCCGTTGCACCAGCTGCAACAATCACACCCGTTGCACTTCCTGCAGTGCTGCTTGAGATACATCGACCCATCCTCTACCTATGTGTATCCTTAATCGCACGAGTCACGACTCTCATGAATATGTCAGCCTTTACGACCTGTACGATCATGAATACCTTCAGTTTCGATATCCCTTGCGCGTGATGATCCTCGACAATGTATGATAGATGGTTAGGGTTTGCTTTGGTCTTGCTTCTTGTTTGTGTCAACTGGTTACCTGTATATTAGATAGATTTCGGATTTCTGTACACTAGCTCTGTCATTTTACTACGTGTACTTTAGGAAGGTTAAGGTTTCGGTTCTGATGTTCACGCTTAATTATACTTTGTAGTGGGTGGTGTTTAGGCCTCCTCATTGCTGCCTGCCTGTCTGCCTGCCGACTCGAGACGAATTTAGGCAGCACATGTATAGATTCTTGCAGATCATTTACAACAATTCGTATTACATCTTGCACAAATCTATGCCTGATGCGAATCAATTTGTGACTAAAAATCTAGTAGTTGTGGTAGTAGTGACTTCAATAATTGGGTCGAAATGATTCCTCTAACGACTGATTTTCGCTGTGGCAGTAAGTTAGTAAAGTAGTTATATATATAACGGAACTAGTCGGGAGTTCCACCCCCAACAAACCCGTGTCCTCCATACAGTACTACTAAATACTAGTACTAGTTACTAACTCTAGAGTAATCGCCCCGATCTCTTCCTTCAGTTCCTAAGGTATGCTTTTTTTTTTTTTTTTTTCTTCTTCTTCCTTATAGGACCTTCCCATGTAGTCACTTGGATTTGATTTGATCCATCCCAGAAAATCGCCAAGACGGTCAATACTATGATAACAACCTGAGATATAATATTGTTTATTCTACTACGGTCTGAAAACGATCCAAGGTGAAGTGCAGATAAAGTTCGGGTATAGCATATGATTTTCGGAACCTAAAGGAACTTGATCCCTGGATACTACTATAGACGGGGAGGGTTTAAATCTACGCCACGGAAAATTGTGAGGCTATTGCCACGTGCGGGTGTATTCTCCGGGCTAATCGGAATGTACCACTACATTCCTTTCCTATCCATCTATTCATTTATCCACGTACCGGTAATTGTTGTTGTGAGGTAGGATCAGTCTGTATTAGTTATGTATGGATAGAATAGAGCCCAAGCTATTTATGTATGCAAAGGGAGAATGTCACCAGCCGGGAGAGCCAAAGGACTGGTGGTATCCAAGAAAATACAAAAATAAAGGGCAATAAGGAAAACTGGGATGGGTGGTTGGGAAGGTCAATGCGGGCGCTAGTATATGATGGAATAAACGATGAAATCTATGGATTAACCAATTTGTCACTCTTGCGATTGTCTATGTGAACTTCGTCTTCGCTTGTGTTTTCTTTCGGTGTCATTCTGTGTAGTGGGTTGGGGTTCGGGTGGAGGGTTTAGTCCGGCCTCCTTTTTCAGGCGGGACACTACCGGTCCTAGTTCGTAGAAGCTGTCCCCTGTAGTGCGGTCTGCACATGGGCTTTGTCTGAGTGGTAGAAACCAGTCGATGATGGAATACCCCAGGACCTGTTGGAGGTTCTTGAAGGGGCTACCGAGGTCGAAAGGGTTTTCGCCAGGTAGGGTTTGGAGAATGGCAAAGACGTGCTGCTTCTCTGGTGGCTGGTAATCTCTTGCTGCCTCAGGAGATAGAGGCACAGGTGGCAGTGGGTACGTTATGGTGCGGAAGGTGGGTGCCCATCGTGACTCGGGGTTGAGCCTTGCCAGCATACGATCTGGCACGCGTATGGCCAGAGTCCAGACTGCAGACCGACGGTTCAGATTCTCAATTGTGGACAGATTCCACATCGCGAGCTGTAAGGAGCTGATAGTCATTCCGAAGGAGAAAAGCCCGAAGAGAGAGCTCCTACTGATGGTTAGAAGGTGACCTAGAAAATATCATAGGGCGAAATACTTACAATCCAATACCAATGGCAAGATGGACATTTGCTCCGCCAGTCTATGCAAAAGATAACGGTTAGTTGCATGATAGAGATGTTGAAGGTCCGTTCTCACATCTTGGAGGATCTCTGCCGTAAAGGTTGCGCATATTATCAGACTGAATACGCAGAATATCAGAGTATAAAACACGAATTGTATGAAGAATTTAAACGATGTTTCGGAAACCACGCCTCCTACCCTGATCGAGTGTTAATCACAGGCCGATACAGTACTATTGGGAAATTAAACTCACCAAGGACAAAAGTGGTCCATCTTAAGCACACATCTGTCTACCTCTCGACAGTGATGTGCTCTATCCGGCTTGTAGCGACAACATGTCGAGCAATAAAGTGGTCTCCCATCCTCTTGGCAAACAAAAACATCTTTTGTATAAAAACTTTCCAACCCGGTAATATCCAAAGGAATTGCACCACCGTCAGCGTTGCCGTCTGCACCTCTTTCGATGTCTATATCCGCCTTATCTGGCTTCTCAGCAGTTCTTGTCCTCCGGTGCTTTCTCTTCCTTCGTTGAGGGCGTTCCGACGGTTCCGTTTCTTGCTGTTCCTTCGTCGGCGGGGACGATCGGGGGAGGAAGCCGGGGTTGCGGGTGATATTATACAACAGCCGGAGATATGTTATTATAACGACGAAGATGAGTACGTAGAAGATAACGAGAATGGCTATACCAGCGCCAACTCGACTGCCTCGGGAATATTTAGGGAGAGGGCGGATCAAGTAGTCAACTGATTCGGACAATTAGCAGCGGATGTAAGCCATTGGCTCAGGGGGCACATACTGCATAACGGCTTGGTGACAATATAGCATGCATATACACATACGCACAATAGAAATGGCGGGATAGTCCTGGCAACCGCTAAATTAACGCGCCTATCTGGGCGCGCCATTTGAAACAGAACGTGGAAGGCTTACAAACGCCTCCGCATCGGAGAACAGTCAGCTAGCCAGTTTCAGGAAAGTCAACCCGCATATGTATCCATATTAACATAAAGTATATACAGGTTTCACGGAGCGAGATAATGGCGAGACAAGCAAGCCCGTGTGAAGCGATATGCGACGATGGGGGACAGAGCTGAAGTTGGCAAGAGGTTGCATTGGCAGTGTTAGGCTTCCAGGAACGTGACAGGCACCATGTGCAAACAGGGCAAACCTCCGTCATGATGTCATGTGCAAGATCACGTGCCGATAAGGGATGGGCTATCTACGTTCGCGATGTCCCCATACCATCCAATGTGATGCCTACGAGAGAATGTGGGACAGTCTTCATCAAGATAATTCCCATCAGAAGGCAGCCATGTTTAGCAGCCAGATTGACTCATAGCCGGCCCGTCTTGTGCTGCTTTGAGGTATTTTCACGTCACTGACAATTTTTCTACCTGGAGTTAAACCTTAAACCAGCTACTTCTTGTCAATACGTACCGAACCTGCTTGATCGGGACGGTCTTGTCCGCTGACATCGATGTAGATATCGACACGTGTATGGATTGACCTGCGGGACGGTTTCCAACTTGTTTCAGAGCGTGTGATATCCTGCAATGCGGTGCGCCGTTGCTGTGAAGGCTTCCAGACTTCGCCAGGATGGTCCGATGCACAGTGAGATCACGAACTAGTTTGACATCTACAGCTGAGGAGAGTGATGATCATTGGGAATAACGGCCCCGTTGAAACGTCAAAAGGGTAGATGGCTGTGGCAGGATCGTTAGTCGGATATGTCATGGAGAGCTAGAACTGGCCATGACAAGTTTCCCCGCAGTTGCTGCACCATTGCTGTGCCGTTATTACGGACAATGCCGTAGGTGGTGCACCATGTAGAGCTGAACCTCAGGATAAGGCCCCCATTAGTTCGTAGCGAGATTCAGCTCTGAACAGACACGGACACGTTAGTACATTAGTGCCGGTTGCTAGTGATGGGTGATGTTCGTTAGTGGTTTGGAGATGGAGCCGAAGGGAGTCAGCGTCGGCCGTCTTGGCTGCACATGACATGGAGCCTCATGCGGGAGATCGGAGAAGCCGAAAATAGGCACGGGGGGAGCACTAAGTCGGGGGAAACGAGGGCGGTACAGGAAAGAAAAACAGCGGAAGGAAGAAAGTCAAAGATCAAGCAGGAAGAGCAAAGTGCAAAAGAGAACAAGAGTACAAACGATGACAAACCTAAACATGAGGTTTGTAATGCATCCAGTCATCGTTCAAAGTGAGCAAGACGTCATTTTGGCAGGGCATGTGCCCAGGTGATCGAAGGGCTTGGATGGCTTAGGCAGAACTAGTATGGGTGCCTGCTTACTTGGAGCAGCAGGAGTCGCGAACGCTTGACCGACGGAAGCATCACGAATAGGCTTATCGGTGCCCCGTCAACTAGGGGAAATGAACGGTCAACATCGGAGTCATAGTCAGAGTCTTGAACTGCGGCATCTGGAATTTCGAGGCACAGGGCACGATGTTGCCTGAATTGTATTTGCGCGCGCTGTTAACTAAAGTGGAGCCCCCTTCAAGGCCGCAACCAGGCAACATACTGTAGTTTAGCGTAGAATGGAAGTGCCCAGGTCCCGCAGTGCCAGTGTCATACTCCGCGAGTCCAGAAGCAATGAAGGGGGAGGGGAGAGAAAAGGGAAAGAGGGAAATAAGCAAGCAACAACAACAAAAAAAAAAAAAAAGAGCAATATTCTTTGGGGAATAATAATCCAATTTCCTACGAAATGAGGAATTAAGCCATAGAGAGACCAGGAAAAGGGCATGGGCGGAGTGGGCGCGCGCTCCCGGGCAAAAAGCGAGAGCCTCCAAGCCTCGCGGATTCCGCCTTTCGCGAAGGTATCCGGTGGACCCTAGAATGTTTTGAGTCAACATTCGGACAGCATATCTTACGATGTCTGTTAGTGAGACAAGTCCAATATGATTCAACCCAGTCTGGGACTGCTGATTGCTCAGGTACGAGCAGTTCGGGGTCCCAAAAAGAAAATGGGGTTGCCAAGCCACTTTGGTCGATCGACCCTAACCTGAATGGCCCCGACGTTGATCAGGCATTGCACTGCTTGATGACTGAGATGAAGGCCAGGAGGGCGCCTTTTCGTGAGATCAGCCACAACCATGGCGAGGGCGCCTTGGGGCCTGGCTCTGAATCATCGCTAGTGACAACGTCTCGTCTCTGTGCTTCTCTCTTACCTCTCTTGAGGTTTTAAATAACCTCCAAACCCCAGCCTTCGATATGGATTCACTCACTCTCATCTACTACTACAAACACATTCACATAAACAGCTTCGGATTCAATTCATTGTCTCTACCTTCTAGCTTGCTTCTTCATAGCTTCCCAACATACCTTCCACACTTTTAATAGCTACCTCTCAAACATCATCTACCATCATGTCTGGAGTCTGGTACTGCTGCGATTGCTCCTCTGGACCTCACCGGCTAGGCCTTGACGACACCTGCCTTCAGTGCGATCAACCACGCTGCTCGAACTGCCACATTGATACTCAGGACACTGTTCCGCACCACTGTCACGAGTTGTCGCCATACGCACAGGCTCCAGCTCCCCAGAACTGTGAACTGTCGGGGAACCTTGTCGCAAAGATGCCGTCCATGCTGGGATGTAACAAGTCCATCCTCCGTGCTTCCTTACACCACAGCCATGCCTTGCAACATGGCATGCCTGGGATCAACAGCCAGGACTCCCGGGGTACGGTCAACCATGGCAGCCTATACTTCTGCTGCCAGTGTGGAGATGGACCAAAGCTGTGGGACAACCAGCCGAGATGTGTGATCTGCCAACATAACATTTGCGGATACTGCAAGCCGGCGAAATAAAGCATGAGAATGGTGACATGAATTGGTGAGGACCAACACAAAAATTGGTTTGGTTGGAGCGTACGACTAATACTTGACTTTTACAGATGTCAACGCATTGTTTGATCTACGACCACCTAATCCATCGATTGCGGGTACTTTATCTGAGCGTTATCGTTATGAGCGGCATGAACATGGAACAGACATGACCAGGAGTCTAGGGTTTCTTTTCTTTCCATTTTCTTTACTCCATTTGCTTTCTGCTATTAATTTCCTTTCTTTTATTTGGTGATTTTCTTTTGCATGAGCGATTGCATAATCTTGGTTGAATTCTCAAGTGTGTCGAGTTTAGTTCTGTTTTTGGTTTCGGGTTTTTTATTACATGGATGACTGTACTAAAGATACGACTTAGAGTTGGGGCGGCTGCACGCCTGAGCGAGCCGGACTCGCTCGGTGGCAGCCGCGAAGAAAGCCTTGGAGTTTTGTGGGTCGTGGGGGACATTTTTCTGGATGGATAGACTATGGTGCTCTTTTTTCATCCCGCGCGATCAATTTCCACTATTGTTCTATGGTTTCTATTATGCGATCTCTTGTTTCACCCCCCTGTTAGACTAGATTTCGGTTTTGAGTGCATCAATGTATAAGCAATGTTTACTAACTACTCCTTTGGAACCATGTTGACGAAGATCCTCTCGTAATCACCACTCGGCATCGATGCAGTAAAAGCAAATAAAGAATGGAGTAAAATAGAAAAGGAACAACAAACCTACGGGGGCCGATCGTGAATGATGGCATAAGCGACAAAAATTCCGTCCGCAGACTGATCAAATCTCGTTCTCGAGATTAAAGTGGTCGTCTTCTCGAATATCCCAAGTGTACGGCGTCTCGGGATGCAATAATAGCCACACTATAGCGGGCCAAAAATTGAAAAATAGTAAAAAAGGGGGAACACGGACTGTCAACTACACGTGTTGATGGACGAACCCCGTATTGCGCCGCATTCGCACCACCACAAAACATCCATATCCACCCTCCCACAGCCATTCATACTACGGCTGGCCCATTTCCCTCCGAGCCGCAAAAGTCTTGGTTGTCCATGGGCCTGCACTGACTGGCTGGGGGAATCACGGAGGATCATTGAACCGTGTCAGCCAATGCCATGCAGATCATGCAGCCACACCTGGCGTCGGCGCTGGAATCCACCGCCCTTTCACTGGGAATCTGTATGCACTGAACCCTATGATGGCGGTGGAACTGGCGGTCGGTCTTTTGGTACGTACCTGCCAGTGCCAGAATTATGGTGTGTCTCCATTCTCGAAACTCGGGCCGCTCAGCTCGGTGGATAACACTTTGACTGCGCCAATTGGCGTGTGGGAGATACGGGTGCCAGGGACACTTTGCTGATTCTCTCTAGAAAGGGCAGTGCAAGTGCCGCTTCTCTTCCCTAGTAGAGCTCGTCATGGCGTCCGTGTGTTCGTTCCGTCGCGCGGTCACCCTGCTTTGCTACCGCCGGACAGGAAAGTGACTCCGATCCTTTTTCAGCTCGACACCTTCTCGGCAGGATTCGAAATGTCATGATAGTGCCTTGACACCTGCCGACCACTGCCAACTAATTCCTGTACCTCAGTCAGATTGGGTTGCTTATTGGTGGTCTCGCAATCAGTCAACCCCGCCGTTCAGCTCCCTGGCAGCTGTTGAAACTGGGGCCACCCATCCATAGCCGTTGATCCTGGACTTGCCAGCCAACGATGCGACCGCGATGGGTGAAACGGCCGCCAGAGCCCGGCCCCCCGTAATGCCAGCGGCCACATGGCATGATGAGACATGGTAGGGATTACGCTTAACGTTCCTTTCTCTTCTCTCGACGATGACTAGGATCACGTTGAACACTGACCTGCTTTTGTTTTTGGTTTTTGCTTTTCCTCGAGGGTTATTTTTAAAGTTGTCTCAAATGTCTTTGTTCTCTGTCTCTCTTGCTCCGCCGTTCTGTACAACCTCAAATGTCCCATTCCGGTAATCTAACACGCTTTCACTGCGACCGAGCGTCGGACTCGAGATCTATTCTTAACTCTAGAAGCAAGCAAAAGCATAGCATGGCAGTCATGCTTCTGAATTCTCCGTATCACCCCCCATCGAACTTAAATTCACACTCCACATAGTGTAAAAATCCTCACATCCTTCCCAAGGCTGAATAATCCTTCCGTCTTCGTTTCCCCGACTCGAGAAAGTATATAAAAATAAATCATCATCATCATCATCATCATCATCATCCTCTCTACCCGCCCGGCCAAGCCCACGCTACCCCGCCAAGCAACCACATATCCTGACCACCACGTTCCATGGCTTGCAACAAGGCACTCCCGTCAGCACTACCCAGAATCCATGATCCACCGGTAATGTAAGCAGCATCCAATCCCTGGACCATGATCATGGCCCATGCAAGTATCCGACTGGCGGCTAGACTGCGTCGCGAGTGATACTTAGTATAGTAATCATCATGCTAGCTACCAGGCCCATTTTCGAGGAGTAATTCGATTGCTTCCATCCACTACTGGCCAGACTAGTAGTAGTAGTTCCATGGCACAGCCTTACGGAATGTGGCACCCTCTCCACTCCAACTCACCTCTTCCGACTTTCTTAGTACAGTAGTAGCTTGGGGGCCTCTTTCTTTCTCTCCCCACTTTGCGCGCTTTCATCCTTCGCGGCATGTCTCAGCTGGCATTTCCTACATGCTCACATTGCCGGTGTGTATGTATCTCACTTAAGAGAAAGTTAGATAGTTACCGACTGACAGATGGGTAGGTAGGTACTTGGTACTTGCATCCTCACTTGCATTACTGGTTACATACAGCCTTACACCTTACATGCCGCACTGTCTCCTGTGAGATTTTGACTATACCTTACCTGCATCTCCAAGGTACTGCTGCGTCACTTGGGACTAAGCTTAGCACTGACTGTGCCGTACCTACATCTACATGAGCAATCGTTGTTTCGTAGTTAGACAAATACTACGTAACTACACACAACTTGCAGGATAAGCATCACCACCATCACCACTACCCTGGCTGCTTACCTTCTATATTCAACAACAACCACTTTCTCCATTACCATCCCCTCTCGCTCTCGCAGCATTACCCCGATACAGATGGTGATTGTCGCGATCCCTTCCTAGTGAAGTAACCCGATCGCAACAGAACATCGCAGCTGTCTACTTATTTCCAAGATGATCTCACCAATCAACATTCCAAGCATGTTGTATGTATATACAACATAACTAACCCTCCCCGCCTGCAAAGCACCTACCCGACACCAACATACTACTTACTATCAATAGAAAACCCATCTGCAAATCCCCCTCCCCCCTCACCAACTATGCATAATCCCGAAACACACTCACTGAAACCCAGCCCACCTGCCTGCATATCTATTACACTACGGATACATCGACTATCACTAACCACGCTATACCTATCTAGTACCTAGTATCTTATGTGCATAGTATCTCCTCGGGACCGACACAATAAATCATCAGTAGGTATGCAGTAGGTAAGCAAGCAACGACGAAACCCGTCCCCGTCCCCGTGTCCGCCTCCGTGTCCGCGCCCGCGCCCGCACCCGTTCCCCGACTGTTCCCGATAATCCTTCTTCCATTCTCCGTCCCCGTACGAACCAACGAACCAACTTCAGCTTCAGCTCTGCCTGAGTCAGAAAAAACCCAGTGACTAGACTAACTAGTCATTTAAGTCACAAGACCACATATGACTCCCATACCTTGCATGAACTTTGAACCTGAGTAATGTCCCCCAACCAACCATATACTTTGAAGTCACTTAAGCCACACACACACTAGTAGTACTAGTTTGAAGTAGTACTAACTCCAACATACAATATATTTCCAGTCAGTTCAGGTGACTGCCAGACTCCTGACTGAGTCAACCTTGCATACATAACTACTTAACTACATAGTTTACATACATGCATCACTACTATGTATGTACCAATTAGATAATATTCAACCATTACCAACACCAGTTAGTAGCGAATATTTAGTACTATATCCAGTGACATGGGGGAACAGAAACAAGGAACATCAGCACTGCCACATCAGTAACTTTATTAACTAGTTAACTAACTTAACTAGGTATGGGCGCGGTTGACTCATCCTTCACGTAGTTGATCATATGATCGGTTAATATATTCTCTGAACTTAATTCTAATAACAATGAATTTTGATGAAAATATTGTGATGAACGGTAGGTAGGCTGAGTATGTGTTTGGAAGACAGACAGGGGGGTATGTATCTAGGGGATGAACGGGTGCGGAGAAATTCGGGGCGCAAGCTGTTATTAGCTTTGAGGGAATAACTATCCGACTGGCTTAACAAGCTACACTACTATCCTCCTATCTATTATCTATCCATCTATCTAGCTAGTAGTGTAGTATGCTAGCTGTTGTGGGTTAGTAAGGAGTAGGTTTCTAGGTCTGCGCCTCGACGCCTTGGGGTGGGTGTGCTTTTGCCCCGGTTTAGACGCTAGACGCCCGGTCCAGTGCCATGCCAATTGTCCGACACTAAGAGGTTCTAAGTGTTTTGGTCTGTATTCTTAGTCGCGGCTCTGTCAACGGGGCATCGTGCGCGGTTATAAGTGCGCGGTTTTCTCTCCTTTTTTTGCGACATTTACTTGTCTAGCTTCTTGCTTATCGTTGACGATTCTAAGAAAATCACGCAAGTGAGGCTTGGTAGAAGATTATTATGATTTGCTATCGCTATGTACTCCCTATGCCCTGACGCCCTGCTGTACAGTCCCATTCCATCCAATGGGCTCATAACCGTGTTAAGGAATCTCATCCCATACCTTGAAGACCAGGCTAGAGGAAAAGGGAAAATCGAAACTGTCACAGACTCGATTCTCCCCGCCTTGCTGGCCAGGCCAGATGTCGTAGTGTGGGTAAATCGCTTACGCCCACTTCCTAAGGGGTAGAAATATGTGATCCTCCAACTCCAGGCTCGCTTTTGTACGCCAAGTAGTAATAGATAATGAAGATAACGGGAAAATGCCCACTTGTGTCGTTTCAGAAAGAGATACCAGATCTCATGTATCAGAAAGGAAGAGTGTGGGCCACGCTAAGAAAGGCAATGAGGTTCAGGGAGGGGAAAGGAAGCCTCCAGGTCAGGAAGGAGGGCTGGCGCGATGTAGAAGGGATCGCTGCCATTGCTGGTACTGAGCCAGAAGCAGCCGCTGCTAGTTGGACTGGTCGTCTGCACTCGCCGGTGCTCGACGCCGGCAGCTCACCTTGTCAAAAAGTAAGAAGTGGCTCTCTCCAAGAGCGTGAAGTAGTCAAGTTCTTCAAGTTGTTACAACGGAAGTACCCGCGAAGGGTCTTGGAGAAAGCGTCTACGGTATGCGGCTATTTCCGTGGCCACTGTGTTAAAATCTTTCACCTTGTCGCGTCGCATGTCGTTGATGATTTGTTTCAGCCCGGCAATGTATTCATCCTTCTCTTCGGGTGTCTTGCCTTCTCGAAGAGATCCCATCTGGACGAGGATCTTGTCATCTGTGGCAGTTAACAAGCCTGGCTGTCAGCATCCGCACAGCGAAGGGAAGAACAACTGAGCAAAAGACATGGAATAAGACGCTTAACGAGAAGGGGATTGAAGGCGCGAGACTGAAAGGAGACACGACAGGAAAAAGGAGGTCCAGGGAGACAATGGCCAAAGGTCATATGGGAAAATGTTGCAAATAATGGTTCAGATCTGTCGACGCACCGCTGAGAGTCATATCACGAAAGTGTTGGAATTCACACGACCGGTCATTGCATACTCCCCCTGAAGATTCAAATGGACAGAGATATCTCATAGGGTCGATGTTGTGGCTATATGTTAGAGAACGATAGCCACCCGAAACATTCTCAGTGAAGTTTGGGTGGTAGCGGTAAGCCTTGAAATTCTTCAGCGGACTAACGTAAGGTGAGAATTTTGGCTCAGACTGCTCTGGTACCCGTGGATTCTAGATATCCTGTCAGCATCACACCTTAGGCGGAATTGAGGTGCACCGCACATCCAGAATGCCAACCTGAGCATAAGCACTTGGTTGTTGGTTATCCCATTCCTGAACCTTTCTCGTTAGTGGCTCGTCAGCCTGTCTCGTCTCATCTGCGGTGGAGACCTCAAGGGAGTCAACAGGATCGGGAGATGCAGGGCTGAAAGGTGGGGAGTAGCTGGAATCAGCGGGGCTAGCTGTCTCTTCTGGCTCAGGAGGCTCGTACGCATCTGAGACGGAAGATTCACGGGAGGCTTGGCCTTCGTCCTCGATGATTTGTTCATCGGCAACCTGCTCAGAAGGTAGCTCCGCCCGTGGCTCCGCATCTAGGGTTCGCGGGCGCTCGGGAAGATCATGATGAATGCCTGCCTCTGCCTCAATTGGCTCCGGTTGTCCATCTTCAGCGGGTCCGCCTGACTCCAACGGGGTGTTCGTCTCTGGAGCGGGTGTATGAGCTGGAAGCTCCTCTTCGTCAAGAGACTCATCACTAGAGCTGTCGCTAGACTCATCCATTGCCGAACCCGTGGAATCAGAACTGGAAACCTCTCCGGAAGACTCGCTAACGTCATCCATCACCTTGTCATCAGGTACAATGTTAGACCCGTTGCCGGAATCAGGTTCGGGAACTTCTTCAGATACGACGGATTGATGGGACGGCTCCTCATCTTCGGGTTCTTTGTTGACGGGTAAACCGGCGTGAGTGGAATCAGAAATTGCATGTTCAATCTCGGAACCTTTTTGTTGGTCTGCGGCTAAAAAGCATAGACAAAGCGTGTCAGTTGGATACTGTCAAACGAAACTACCAAGGCAAAAAATATCGGCGAGTATTCTTGATGGCCATACCTTCAAGCTCGGGCGTATATTCCTTGGCTTCCTTATTTTCCTTATCTTCCTTTTCATGTGCGCGGCGTATCGCAGCCTCCACATCATCGAAGGTTAGCCCATTAAGCTCCACGTTGAGGTTGTTCAACTCATCCAAGAGCTGCTGCCGGCCTTCACGCCCTTTGGTAATTTCGGACACTAGCCTGGCTTCTTCCTCATTGACCTCAGCCAACTTCGCCTCGGACTTATTTATCTCGGCATCTAGCGCAGGAATACCGACTTCGATTTCCTGTTTGCGCAATAATTTGACCTTGATACTCTCCACTTGGGTCAGATCAATGTTGGCAGGGGTCTTATTCTCCTCCTCAGCTTCCACAGGGAGTTTCGGTGTTTCGCTGACGTCGGTAGGTGAGAGTTTGTCCGTAGGAGGTGAAGGTTCCGGAACGTCTGATGGGCGAGGTGATTGTGTACGGCTGGCTGCCAGCTTTGCTTTCTTCCGCTCTTCTAGTTCGGCAATTCGCTTGTGCATAGCTTTGATCTCCAGGTCCTTTCTTCGAAGATGCTCCTGATGCTCCTGATCATTGTTCCTCAGGCTCTGTGGGGTAGCCGAGGCAGAAAACCCTTGACTAGATGCAGTTGCCGGCCGTTGAGGAAGAATATCGACGGTTGGTGTGTAAGTACGAAGCAAGCCCTCCACATCTTGCATTTCCTTGCCGGCTGGCAGGTCCACATCCATGTTGTCGTGCTCATCATCGCCGTAGAACTCGTCATCATCGCTGATATCAATGACGAGTCTCTGAGCCTCAGGATAGGCATAACTGCCGCCGTTATTGAAGGTCTTCTTCGGGATCGGGACAGGTTCGTCAAAATCAGATGCTCGAGGACGTTTGCGCTGATTAACACGGGTTTGTGACACCGCATCAGTAGCACCCTGAGCACCGGAAACAGGAGTCTGTACATTCTCCGGCTCTTGCTCCGTCATGAAGAGCCCAGGTATACGGGCCGAAGAATTGGGCTCAGGATCAGGAGGGCGTTCTGGCAATGGATGCTGGATTGGCATCGGGGTCGAAGTCGACAATAATTCAGTACCGGAGTTAATCGATGGTTGGGATTTCTCGGGAGGCACCGAATTCGACTGCGATTTTTGACCGTTCCTCATCAAGCCCTGTTTCTTGAGCAGTTCAATCCGCTGCCGGGCCAACTCAGTCTGAGCCTTGTTCTTTTCCTTGACACGAGTCTCCTTTTCCTTTATCGAGTCCTGGGAGGAAATAGCCGCATTCTTGTCAGCATTCGGCAGAACCGAATCTTCGGACGCACTAGATTCCTTGGTCGCCTGCACTTGAACTTGTCCAGGCGCCCCGGAACCCTTTGCAGCCTTTGCAGCAAGCATACGAGCAATAACCTCCTTCCGCTCCATGGGTTTCGTGGTATCCGGTGGCAATTCGGTAGATTTGGATTGCGATGCCGAACTTTGATCCGCATCTGACTTGAGAACTGAGCTTCCTTGCTCTGGTTCCCCGGACTGGCTAGTCGACGAACGGTCGGATTCCAAGGAGGTTGCACTGGATGGAGGTGTTGAGACGCCCTGTACCGGAGTGGCAATCTTGATTCCAACTTCTTCATAGAGTTGACGAAGGATAACCGGGTTAATTCCTTCCCCGACAAATTCGGCATATCGAATGTTGTGAGGCGCCAAGCTCAGAAGTGCCCCCTGTGCCTGGACGCGAAGTTGTGCCAATGACCTACCGCTGCCGGGTATTGACTGCGGGTCAGTTGAAGCTGCGCTGCTCACTCCTTTATTGGGGTCCGCTTCATATTGCGGGAATGACGAAGTTGGCACTTCTGGTTCTGGTGCGGTGTCCGAAACAGGTGGCTCAGTAGAGATGGGAGGAGCAGGATTATAGGCTGCAGGAAGTCAGTAACCGGACCGTTCATAATGCGGGAATAACATACGTGACCCACTGCTTCTGGACGATAGGCGAGTTTCTGGTGCAGCCCCGCCTCTATCCATCTCCGAATATCCTGGCGCTGAGCCTACGGTGGCCATCGCCAACAAGTGAGAGTTATGTGAATTATGACTACCAGTGCCATTCGGCTTCACTGTCCGATCGCTTTCCATGAAATCGTTGTTACCGTCCATAGCTCGAGCCATCTGAGTATCGTAGCTATGTCCTGACCCCTGTCCCGGGTTCAAATTATGTGGCCTAGGCTGCGTCGACGAAGATTCTTCACGATCTGTGAGCTCGCCTTCCTCTCGGTCTGGGTCTGACTCCGAGTTGGCAGCAGTGGCAGGCTGAGGACCCGGCGGAGTAGGGATGGAATTATTCATCTGGTAGTCGCTAGTTGCATGACGAACCGGTTCATAACCGTGAACCGGTGGTACAGGAATCGAGGGGTATCGTAACGGTGGCATCTGTAGTGGTGGAAAGGGAGGGTGAGGGAACTGAGTGGAAGGAAAAGGCGGCATGAAAGTGAATGGAGGCGGCGGTACTAAGGGACCAGCGGCGCTCGGGACCCCTAATCCCGGTAGACGTGTGTTTGCGTTGTAGGTGTCGGTATTATAATCAAACGGACGGGTAGCACCATCCTGCGCGTGTTGAGGGACGGGCGAAGGATTTTGGCCAAAGCCTAGATTAGGAGGAAACAAGGATGGCATGGCGGTCGAGGAAGACGGATCTGATGGAGGCCACTGAGGTGTATAATTTGGTCCCACAAATGACGGTGTCGGTGGATAATTAGACATGATTGGGGAAGAGCGACCGCGTGCGCGCTTGCAAGGTGAGTATAATGTCTGCGTCCAGTAAGCAAAAAACGCTAGCTCGTCACATCTAAAGCGAGTGCTTAGGCATCCCACATCGTTTCAAGCTAAAATGAGCAGGAACCAAGTCAAAAGTCATAAGACTAGAACAAAATGGATAGAATCAGTAACCACAACACTCTGCTATACATGAGGTCGGGCGCGTTGGTGAATATATGTGGATGAGGCAGCTCTGCACCTGCCGAGCAGATATCAACGGAGAGCGAAGATGCGAACGCGACGTGAGGATGGTGAGATGAGCTGGAGATTTGGAGGAACGGAGCACAAGAACGTGAAGCGACAAGCAAAACGGGGAAACGACCGACCAACCCGGAAAAGATCGAGTTTCGTGCCGCGGGTCTCCACGTGACGGGTGCACGACCGATCCGGCCTAGCGCATGATCGGCGCCCGCAGCCTGAGGAACGGCGGATGTAAACAAACAGCGGAACCCGAAGGGGCCCCAGAGGGAGCAGGTGGTCAGTGGGTGACTGTCATTCTGCACCTCCCGCTGCTTGGTATGCTGCAGCTTCATTTAATATACACCTGCCCAACCTTTCCTTACCTTCTTCTTCCCTTGTCTTTGAATCGTTACTCTTTCCCTGGCCACTTCAGTTGGCCTGGATGCTTCGTTGCAGCATCATCCGAGGGCTCATTGCTTGAGTCTCCATTACTCTCATAGATATTTGTTATGATTACGACCTTCTCACTGAATAATGATCCATTGACCTTAACGAAGATATGCTTCCATCACAGTTAAATGGCTCCCCTAAGCGGGCCAATCCTTTCAGCCGCGCATCGCCGTCACCGACTCCCTCCCCGACTCAGCAGACAAGAGGTATTCGCCCCAAGTCGGCCGTTGTTACATCCACCAGTAA